TTGTTTGAGTCCGAGAAAGCAGTCCTAAGAAAAAAATTAAAATGGACGATGAAAAAATTAATTTGTTTAGTACAAAAATTCTTCTTCTTCTTCTGCCAAAATGCGGCCGCTACAATAACTTCTTCATCAGAACTGGGTTGCTTTCACACATAGTGACCCAGTCACTGCTACATGTAAACTAAAATAAAAAGATCTTCGCAACACACGACCGCGACGTGACGGTTTGCCGGTTTCCACCGGAAAAGTGGGCGACCAAGCTCTCCGTCGCCTGCAGGCGACGGGCAGCTACGGTCCGTGCTGTGCCGGACAAGTGGGCGACAAGCTTTAGAATAAAATATAGACTACACTATTTACATTTAAGCGCGGTCCAATATTAATTTTTGTAAAAACATGTTTACTCCTGGGTGCTGGACCTCGGTCGTCTGAGTCTCTTCTTTTCGCCTCCAGCCTATGTTGTCAGTCATGTCTAAAATATTATTAATATTTTTTTTTTCTTGTTATACACATATATTGAGATATTAAAACTGTATTTTAATAAAGTAGTGTTTAATAGTAGAAAGATGTATTAAATAGTCCCCTATACTTCACTAAATTATAAGTCGGAGACTATTTAAAATGACAAATTCTTTACAATTTGGCAACACCCATCAATCGCCGGGTCGCCTGTTCATTCTTTATTCCTCTCGTAGTAGAGCCATAGTAGAGTAAAGCACGTGTCGTAAAAACCTTGTTGTCACAGTTTCTGCCATGGCTATTTTATTGTTTTTATTGGATGTTTTGATTTTGTATTTTTTGGATTCGATTGATTTAGTGTGTAGTGTCGGTTTAGTGTTTAATTTGATTACTTTATTTAAAAACTATAAAACATGGTTCGTCAGTGCCAAATTTGTAAGAAATTGGACTATTTAAGTCCTGGAACAACATTCCACAGGTAAGTCAAATTTACTATTTTGGCGTCAGTGGCGTTGTAGAAAGGCGCTTATTTAGATAATAATTTAGTAAATTATAAACCCTGGAAAATCTGTATTTTTTATATTTATCATTTACGTAAAGGTTCTTACTAACCTCGTTATTAATATAACGAGTAGATACATTATTAAGTACATAAGAAGTAGACACATTATTTTCTTGGGCATTGGTTAATTTAATGCTTTTTTTTATGAAAAATGTGTTTCTTTTTATTCTAAAACCATCCTTAGAATCTAAAATAACATACAGGAATTCCAGAATGATATTCCATTATGAAACAACAATTTTTAAGGCTTATTATAAACTATAAACAATCGAGAAAGTCGAAAAAATTACAAGCTACCAAACATTTTAAAATACCAAACATTCCTTATTTTTTTTCAAGACTAAAATATTTTACAAACATTACTTTTTCCCTATAGTTTCACATCAGGTATAGAAATAACTACGTTTTTATGATAGGGTCACCATTATGATAACAAAAATGACGAACAATGGTCCAGAAATGTAAACAAGTACATATTTTTTGTAAATATTTTTCTTACCGCTTGCATTTTTGTCCATTATTATTTCACAAATTATACAGGGTTATGTAAACCAGGTAGATATTTCGTTTTTTTTATATTAAACAAAGATAAAATAAATATGCCATTTTAAAATTTATCCAGTACTTACCTAGAGTTTTTTCTTTTTTTTTCTCGACTGTTAATCTATTATTAATTTGTAATACCGTATGATCGAAAAAAACGGCGTCCAGTTGGCTTGGAAAAAACCATCGATACATACTCCATATAATTTTACATATAAAATGACAGCGATCTTCATTTCATAGCCATCGCTGACGCCGTTTTTTTTCGATTATAAGGTATAATTTTCATTTTTTCTTTTATAATGTAATATCACTTAAGTAATATCACATATAATCTGAAGATAGTTTTAGAATTAACCAAAACGTAAATCTTTAATAAAACAATCTGTTATTATTTGCCATATATGTATGTATCCAAGAAAATAATTTACATATTATTATTATATGTTTTACTGTTTTTTATCTTTATTTGAAACTCAGAAATGTTGCATTGGCTTTCTAAAAAAATGAACTTGTAAGTTTTTAAAATGCTTCGTTTCGGAGATACAGGGTGTAGAAGTTTCATTTTTATTTCGATTTTTTTCCAAATAATTTCTGAAGTGACGTCAATATTTGGACGAAAATTGGCGTTTGGGAGTTTTTTGACATGAAAAATTAGATTTAGATGTCAATTTGACTTTTACTAATAGGGGGCGCCACCTACATATTTTTTAAGTTATTTGAAGAGTAATACTTTTTGTCTGTATCTATATAAAACTACTGAGAAAAATTTACATTTCCAACGTTTTTTACTTAATAAGGTCTCTTGTTGACACTCGCCACAAGTATAGTTCTCAAGATATTTGGAAACGAATTAATCAATACATTCTTCATAAATTATTTGGAAAAAAGCGAAATAAAAATGAAATTTCTACACTCTGTATCTCTGAAACGAAGCATTTTAGGACATAAATTTATACTATTTTTTTTACTGATTTTATTTGCAGATTATGCTGCCAAAGTTTCCTGAATACAATTCCGACCACTCTGTATATCAAGATATCCCCCATTACGTACTAGTTTTTCTTAATAATTTTCTATACATTTTCCAACGCCAAGATGTACCAAGCGCATACAAATACATCAAGCTTCAAACAAGCTTGCACGTTGACAGTAATACCTACAGTAATATTGTATTATATTAATGTAATATTTTTGAACCAATGTTCAATATTACTGTAGTAATACTGTTTATACTCATGCCTTTTATATTTGTTTGAATTTGGTGCATATTTCCATTGAATAAAGTATAGTCACCATTACCATTATTATACTTACTCTATAATAAAGACAGTAACGAGTTAAATAAATGTAGTTTTCATTTTATTCACTTCCTAAAAGCTTGCTTTAATGGAACAGATTCCTGTTTTTTCTAATTTACATAATAAGACATCACTTTTACCGGAAAAAAAAATTAAACAATTATAAAGTTTTTTCTCTTTCTGTTCTATTATATCTATAGAATAGATCCTGTTTTGATTAATATTAGAGTTGTAAATGTTTGACTAAAATTAATATTTTATTAAATTAATAATTTATCATCAATTTCAAAAATTAAATAATTTCGATTATTAAAATTTCTTCTATAACACGTACTTTATTATTTTTATCGTTTTTAGACTCTAAGACGTATTTTTTCTAAGTCCTAAACTTTACTTTTATATTAAACTATTTTCTTTATCCTAAATCTTAATAATATAAAAAAGTTTAAATACGATATATTTTTAATTGAATTATAGCTTCATTAAAATTAAAAAATACCTTGCCTATGATACGGAGAGTGCAGGTGCACTGGAAGCCAAACAAAGACAGTGTTGCGTTGGGCGGCAGAGCCGTCAGGAAACGACCGTTACGACGGAGACAGCCTATCTATCGCTCGTGTCGCACTCGTTAGAGCCAAAAACAATAACACAACAATAACAAGACGTTGTCTGTCCGCATCTTCCAGCTATTTATGAATGAGATGCTCAGTCTATATTTTATTCTAAGTCTATGATTCCAAGATATTTCAATGATGGTAAGAAAATATATTCGTTTAGTCGTTTACCTGAATATAATATTATATTAGTCTTCATTGATGTAAGTGATTTATGACTGTATAATTTGGTTTATATAGTATCTGTTATTATATTTGCAGATTTTAAATCCCATTTCCGAATGAATAGGTCAACAGTAGAAATTTTACTTACCCTTGTTTCACGCCATATTATTAAGCGGCCTGGTCGACATCCAATCCCACTTGAAAAACAAATGTTAATTTGCCTTTGGTACTTGGGAAATCAAGAAGTTTTTAGGTAGGTACCTACTTAAGTTAGGCAACTATTAAAATTAAAAACAGCCGTCTTCATACTAAATATTTGTAGATCAATCTCAGATAGGTTTAATGTTTCCAAAAGTACAGCCTATGCATGTATTGATATTATTTTAAATGCTATTATATGTTTAAAAGATATTTTTATTAAGTGGCCTACTATTGAAGAAGCAAGAAGAACAAGTTACCATTTTCGAACAAAAAATATATTTCCTGATATAATTGGATGCATTGATGGCAGCCACATACCAATTTCAAAACCACAAGAAAAAAGTGAATCATACATAAATAGGAAGGGATATTACTCAGTCGTTTTGCAAGGAATATGTAATGAAAAAAAGGAATTTATTAATGTTACTTGTGGTAAGTAAATCTTTAAAAATATGGGGCTCAAACTCTAAATTTAATTTCTATTATATTTTATAGCATAACATAACAGATTAACTTTTTAGGATGGCCGGGGAGTATGCATGATGCTCGCATTTTAAGAAATTCAGATTTCGGTGTTGCAATGCTGCAAAACCCAGAGCAACTGTTCTTTTATAATTTTCACTTGCTGGGGGACTCGGCATATCCGTTAAGCCAATATATAATGACACCTTTTAGAGATAATGGGCACTTAAATGCCCAGCAAAAAAGATTTAATAAGAGATTATCGTCAATAAGAATAACAATAGAACATACTTTCGGAATACTAAAATCAAGATTTCACATATTAAAATTTGTAAATAAATATTTGACAGTCAACATACCCAAGATAATTTTAGTATGCTGTATTTTACATAATGTGTGTATAACAGAAAAAGATGATATTATTATGGAACTTCCAGAAGATGTAGAAGACCATGTGGGTGTTGAATATAATGACGAGGTAGAAAATAGAGGAGTAGCAAAAAGAAACTACATTTCTACAATTCTATAATATCTACCTTTAGTTTGTGTAATGCTGTTTTTTATAAAAACAAAATTTGTTTTGTCTACTAAATCCATTTTACACATTCTTTTTAAATCTATGGTATAAAAACACTAATAAAACACTATAACTTTATTTAAATCATTTATTTACTGCCAACGTAAACGTTTTTCAATGACAAATAAAAATAATCAATTTTTATCTACCATTGCTTTGAAGAGCGTCAAAAATTGTGTTTCCAGTGCCATCCTTTCATTATGACGCTCTTTCATTTCTTCCCTAAATTTATTAAACCACTCAGGTTCTGTGCTCTCTGTCTTCGTTTTTTTCCTTTTCGGTGTCTCCATTAGTTCGGTTTCATCATCAGTATCTTCAGAATTATTTTCTCGTTTTTTACATATTTTAAAACCAGAGCTACTGGAGGCTATTGAGATAGGTTTATTTTCAGGATCGGAACCAAAAATGTCGTGCATTTGATCAAAGTGAGACCAAGTGATTTTCCCCCTTCCTGTAGACTTACTGTTATCCAAAATTACTTTATATGTTTTTTTTAGATTTTTTAATTTAGTTTCAACTTGTGCCTCAGTAAATCGGGGAAAATTTTTAGCTATTTCACTATAAATGCTTTTTGAACGGAATTTTTTATCCTTTAATTTAACAATATTATTACGATAATTTTCTAATAATAATTTGATTTCACTATCTGACCACCTATTGGAAAGCGCTACAAATATAAGCATATTAGAAATTTGGCAAATACATCAATACTATACAATATTTACAAGAACATTCATCTGGAATACTTTCAGTAGTAGCATCAGTTTCAGAAGAGCCCGATTTTTCTGGGACTGTTGAAGCGTTTCCTTTATCACCCACACTACACATCGCCAAGTCCGCACTTGCCTGGTCCTTTAAATACCTAAAAGCAGCCAGTCTGTTCTTCCTCTCAATTTCTCTCTGCAACACTCTATTAGCCAACTCATTATCTAAAATTGAATTATTAAAATATGTTAAGAATTTCAATAACCATTTATAATCAATCCCTTTAGTACTTACCACCATTTTCAATGTCTAGGTATTCCTTTGCACTAACTACACATTCAAATATGCCTTCTTCAGACTCTAATTGTATTGTTTGAAAGTCAGCCATACCAAAGGCCATAGTGAGAAAAGAAAACGTCGATTGGCTAATAATTGTACGTAAAAACAAAGGTATATATCCGATAAAAGAACTTTATACTATATACCTACTCGTGCATGACTTGTGCCGGCAGTTATTAGCCGTTATTTTTAAAAATTATATCCTAATCCCAGAAATGACCAGCTGATTATTTCTACCCACCTCGTGAGGAGGGTTAGCAGGATCACAATATATGGCAAAAATCGAGTTATTTAGATCACTTTCCGAACGCACAGACTCGTTTTGAGATCCATTTTCGAACGTTTGGATTGGTAATCCTCACAATCCGATCAATCAGATCGCAGTTTCCGAAAATCCCTATAGTCATTTCCGATGAAACAGGAAGTGACCAAAAACAATTGAATGCGTCAATCAATCCTAATTTATGTCATATACTAACATACTAAATCTTAGTTTTTTATTTGAAAATATAAAAAAATTATGGGGATGAGCCACTTTTGGGACGCACCCGGTATAATAAAGACAGTACCGAGTTAAATAAATGTAGTTTTCATTTTATCCACTTCCTATCACCTTCCTTGCTTTAATGGATTGGATTTATGTTTTCTCTAATTTACATAAGACATAACTTAACCAGAAAAAAAATTACAACAAACATATATTATTTTTTTCTCTCCCTGTCGCCGATTCTATTATATCTGCGGAATAGATCCTGTTTTGATTAATATTAGGGGTTGTAAATGTTTGACTAAAATTAATAATTTATTATTAATTTCAAAAATTACGTAATTTCGATTATAAAATTTCTTCTATAACGTGTATTTTATTATTTTTATCCTTTTTGGACTCTAAGACGTTTTTTCTAAACTTTTATTTAAAAAACCTGTTCTCAATCTTAATAAAATATAAAAAAGCTTAAATACGATATATTTTTAATTTAATTATAGCTTGATTAAAATAAAAAAATTACCCGGCTATGATACGGAGAGTTCAGGTGTACTTGAGAAACGAAAGACAGTCTTGTGTTTCTCGGCAGAGTCGTCAGGGAATGACCGTTACGACAGAGACAACCTATCTATCGCTCGTGTCGCACTCGTTATAACCTAAAACAATAACAAGATATTGTCTGACCGCATGTTCCAGCTATTTATGAATGAGATGCTCAGTCTATATTTTATTTTAAGTCTATTGTTGGAACCAATTCTGAAAGCAGTTATTCCACTCGCTTGTTGGTACCTTCAAAATTGCGTTTTTGAAGGCATTTGTTTCTTTCATTGGAAATCAGTTTATACTGATGCATGATAAATGATAGACCCTTGCTCGTTCTTTGGTGTTCTCCATATAAACATATTTTTTTGTATTTTTAAATGAAGGAGATCAAAATAAAAATGCGCGACATACTTCTCGGTTGTTTTGACATATGGCCGGTTTGAAAACGACACCGAAATATATATCGCAATGATTTCGTGCATTCGAGGAATGCGACAAAGTTTTCTGGATGTGTCTCCGTCTTAACGGCCGAACTCTCTGCAACACTCGGTGGTACTTATAAATAGCCACGTCTCTTTGGTATTTCGCTCGTTTTATTATACGCATATACACTCTCTCGCTAAGCAGTTTCAGAAAACACTTGCTTAAAGTGTCACTTTCGTGCTCTTGATATAGAAACTACTATAGATTTAGGAAGAACAGATATCACATTTTGCATTTTAACCCGATCAAACAATCGGAGGTTGACTACGTACTGTAAAAACCAACTGAGATAGAGAAGGCGACATTGCCACATCTCAAATTTGCGCCTATCTACTTAGTTTGATTTGCAGAAAAGGTGACTTTAAAACCTTCACCGGATATCAATAAATCTCAATTTCTTAATTAAATTAATAGTTTATTTTAAAGAAGCATGCGTAATAATATGTTATTAACCAGAGGATATATGCGTTACTATTAAAGGACATGTTTACTGTTTAATGTGCTGAAACGTCTAGAACTATTGGCAACGTCGCTGCTAGTCTTCCAGAATGAAATGAGCCGACCGTCCCACCACCCCTCGCGACGGCCCTTGGTCCGTTATAACGTTCTACCCTTAATTATGTATAAACAAGGGTACTACGTTTAGCTTACGGTGTGTTTGAAGTCGGAATCAAGTCCGAAGTGAACTTTTCAGTGTTTTTCAGTAGTTTTTGTTTTTGTTTAACGTACTTTTGAATCTGCGAATTTTCAGTATGGTACGACAGTGTCAAATGTGTGGAAAAATAAGCTCAAATTACCCGAATTTGTCTTTTCACAGGTAGGTATTGTTTCCGCCGCGCCGTAATCGCCGTACATAGGCGTCCCACAAGGGAGCCTCTCACAATTAAAATAATTTCTAATTATATTTGTTGAATTTTGAGCTATTAAAACAAGAACGTAGTAGCCGGTAATTGAATTATAAATGTCGTCAATTACTACTTAACTGTTGTAGATCATAACAAATTTGAATATAAACGTTGCATTTGAAACTTTCTTATAAGCCAGAAAGTGACATTTTTTTCTTAAAATTGCGTCATATTTTGGTCATTATATACGATATTCTAAAGGAATTTTGCTCAACAAATAAACAAAGTTGTTTACCCGCCCTTTTACATTTTATTGCATTATTATATCTGCCCCTTCGGCCTCGTTTAAACAATTTTTACCACCGTACAAATACCTCTTCCTAGAGTTATTTGTACGGTGTGTTTCTTTTTTTAGAATGGGACGAACTGTAAATAATTCTTAGGCTACTAGTTTTATACATACCTATATACAGAGTGACCCAGGCCTCCAAAAAGCTTTTTACCTATTACGTTTTTGGTTTGTAATTTTATTTCAATTTTTTACATAAGATGGGGGCCATTGTAACGCACATTTTCAAAATATTTTTGTCAACATACAGGGTGATTCTCGGGGTAATTCAAACCGCAATACATATGCTTAATACAGTTCATGAAGATTGGGACATTTAACTAAAATTTTATTGTCTCATGAAGCTATCTTTAAAAGTAATGGATTTGTAAATAAACGTATCAGAACCATCATAATACAAGAAGAAGACCGAAAGAGAGTCAAATCTTGTCTTATATTTTCAAAAAAACACAATTTTCGGAAAATACGTAAATAAAAATGACTTTTTAAGTCAAAAAAAGTCAAAAGGACAAGTTATTCCAAAAAAGGACTGTCCTTTTCAAAAAAGGACAGGTGGCAACCCTAGGTATTTCTGGAATGGAAATTTAATGGCAAATCTACAACTTTAGTTTGAAAATATGTTCCGGCCACCTATGTTTACAAAAATGTCTAAAATGTGCTTTACCATTGCCTCCATATTCAAAAAAAAAATTGAAAGAAAAGTCACCAACCACAAACCTAATATAGAACTGTTTCGGAAGCCTGAGTCACCCTGTAAATATTCAAAAGTAACGGAAAGTTTATATAGAATTAACTGAAAGTTTAAATTGAAAATCGACTTTGGAACGATTTTCGAAAACTACTTACTAACGTTTCAACATAAGTATATGTGGGATATTAATTATATTGTTATATTAGACCTTTTAACAAAACTCATCTGACGAAAAAGTGTTAATGTAGTATATTAATATGGAGTAAACATTTTACTAATTACTTTACTTTTACTTTACTAATTAAATTCGTTCCAAAAAACGATACGCCACTGGCCATTAGAACAATCCAAATGCGCCTAGTTGCCGGGGTCGGAAATTTTAGACTTCTCTATCTCTTCTGTCCTTGTTTGACACATTGGAATGTTTGATACACTACCAACGAGTATTTATGAATGAGATGTTCGGTCTATATTTATAATGTCTTTGGAAACTACTAAATAATATTGTATGATCGAAAAAAAAACGGCGTCGACGACAGCTGGGACAATCGACAGATAATTTTGGCGAGGTCAATCGTAAAAAATTTCAACGTATTACCAAAGAATACTTGATGAAGTTTACGAAAAATAGGATATTTTATATTTTTGAACCATTATTTCGTGATAAATATAAAAAATTGGGGAAGTTATCATATACGATTTGAAGTTGAACTTTAACCTTCAATAACTTTCAAACGAGTCGAGTAAATGAAAAATCATATCAGACCTTTTTTGAAGAGCGTTCAATTTCCTACAAAAATATATCTAGATTTTTGCAATACACTGATTTGTAAGAACACAATAAAATTGAAAAGAACTCCCCGTGTTATTTAAATGGGAAATAGAAAATCACGATCAAAATTAATATTAAAATTTCAAACTTCTCTACAATATTATATACATCTTTTTTTCCATAGCAACTATTAAAATTGCGTTATATCTATCAAAAATAGTAGATAAAATAGTACTTTAACCGCAAGGGTAAATTAAATGATACTTTAACAGCGAGGATAGGTTAAAAACTTAATTTCTTCTCGCACGTTTTTTAATTGCTTCCATTTTTGAAAATTTTTGTATTCTTTTTCATAAGTTATTCGGGATTTAAATGGAAGTAGTTTGGATATGGCGTTTGTCGCCTCAGCCTGAATATCTGTCGGTAATTTATTTATTTGGTTTTGAGCCATTTCTGGCTCCAATTCAATCAGCAATCGACACGAAAGAGAATTAAAAAATATTGACTCAAAACTGACAACTAAAGAGGCAGCTTTATTTATTTGTCATATTACATAGAAACCAACGCCAACCCAGCACAGTATTTTTTCTACTCGTAATAAATTCCTTGAAATAATTATTTCTTAAATACCATTTTATCGTCTTGTATAAAAAAAATAACTATTAACACAGATTATACAGATTATAAACTTTGTTTTTTCTTTATTGTTTTTCGTGGTTCCAATTTTCGGAATCGGGCACTAGTTAGGTTACTAGTTTGCGCACATAGCACGCCCACTTATGGCCTGTAAAACTGTGCACAGCGCCTGACCGGCTCAGTTATTAGAGATATCGGAAAACCGAATAGCGTCATGCAGTATTTACGCGTCCCTTATCATGGTTACGATATGCGCGAGTCAATTTTTAACGCAACACCCGCTAATAACGTTACCGCCTGACGTAATTTGCGGATCAATTACACCAAGCGCCATTTCTAAATAACGTTTGAAAATTGCTTAAATGGGCATGTGCGGGTATTTGACAACCGGGGCCGGCCGGGGAGATCTTTTATTTTAGGTTATG